AAATAACCAAAGTACTGAAGATAGCATGCATAGGCAAGAAAAAGTCATTAACTTTATGTTGTTGTTGTTTCAGAATTTAAAAAATCACCAAGTTGAGGACTTCTCAGTTCTAGCACTAGAGGTGGACTCATAGCATATAATCAGATGTTTTTCAAAATTTCTAGACATAGGATTCAAAGCCCTGCACTTAAAATAGCCTCATTTAAATTAACTGTTTATACAAATTGTGGAAATATTGAGTTTATGTATGTTTCAGAGGTATTACATTTGAATGCAATTTGCAAATTATTACTTAAGTTTTGAGTAAGAGCAATGTTATTTGGCCCAATAACTTAAGGTGGTGCAGGAAGCTAAAGGGAAGGAAGCTGTAAAAGCACATTCTGAACAACTTCAGAGTATTTTTAATCTATGTTACTCTTAGTTCATAGAATACATTGGGCAATGCAATTTAATTAATAAAACCCCAGTTATTTCTTAGAATTTTAATCATGAGAATAAATGAAGACAAGTTTATTTACTCAAGGTCCCAAAAGGTCAAAGAAGCCAGGAAAGTAAAGCTGTATTTCAGAGGAAAATGAGATATTTATAAGTTTTCTAAGATGACAGACTCAAGTTTTAACTTTCAAGTCCCATCATGTAGGAAAGTGTGGCATAACTGGCCATTAAAGATCCCCCTGCTTAATTAACATTCACAAGTATCTCAGGCTGTGCTTGAGGCACAGTAGCTCCAGAGGTCAGTCAAACAATAAGATGTCTGTGCTGCAAGTTGCCAGGCAGAGGGATCATTCTTGAGAATGAGCCCCAGCCCTGGCTCAAACTCACCTGCAAAATTTGTGAGAAATGAGGCAGAGGCACGGTGTGAAAGCAACAGGAGCTAAATGATGAAAACACATGGACATATGTAGGGAAACAAGGCACATTGGGGCCTATCAGTGCATGGAGTGTGAGAGGAGCGGATCAGAAAAAGTGTCTAATGGATGCTAAACTTAATATCTGGGTGATGAGATAATCTATACAACAAACCCCCATGACATTCATTTATCTGTGTAACAAACCTGCACTTCCTCTGCATGTACCCTTGAACTTAAAATAAAAGTTATAAAAAAAGAAAGCAACAGTTTGAACACTTGTTGTGGTCTATTTTCTCATTCTTTACAATCACTCTAGAAAATAGCCACAGGCTTCCTGCAAGGCAGCCGCAGAATTTATTACTTGTGATATCTAAGTCATTCCTGGCTAATGCAAAATCTAATACAAAATCTAGTAGAATCAGTTGGTTACATCTATTTCTGTTCTGAGAATATAAATTTAGATACATAATGGAAGCAGAATAATTTGTAATCTCACTAATTAAGAATCCTAAGCAGCCCTTTTCCCTTCTGTGGTTTACAAGCCTTGCTCATAATTTTAATATTTTAAAATTAACAATAAAGTAACTTATTTGTGGTAAAGAATATTCATTATTTTTTTTTAGATAATACCATGAAAAACTTTCAAAAAAGTGAAGGGTCTAATTTACCTAACAATAATCTAATTTATATAATTTTTCATACTAATAGAATCGCAGAACAATCCAGTATTTGACTTTTTAGATTAAATGTGTGTCATAAATTAGCCAGGAAGATTTAAGAAAATATTGGATGTTTTCCTGTTTAAATTAGGCATCTTACATTTTTCAGAATCCTGCATAGAACTTATGAAATCATAAATGCTAAAGCAAACCCTAAGAGGCAGGAATTCATCTTCATCAAATTTGGATGCTTCTTTCTAAAAGTTCTTTACTCTTAAATGTCTGAAGACATGCATAGATTTTATTTTACTAATTTTTAATTATGTAGACAATAAATAAATATTCTTACTGATTACTTTTTCTCAGCATCTAACCCTTCTGATCTGTCCTGGATGGCCACGCCACTTATCTCTCTAAACTTTGTGCTTTTAATGTAGGAAAGAAAGGCAATAATCTCCCTTTTCATGGCTTGTCATATAATAAGCAAATAAAATGCTTAAAAATGAGCAGCTGAAGCAATTTATCTTGAATCAACAAGCGTCAGAGCAATAATGAGACTGGCTGCAGCCTACCTGACTTCTGAATTAGAATTTATAAGCCTTGTTACTGAGACACAAACTGGGGCCTTTCAATGCTATAACCTTTCTTGAAGCTCTTCCCTACAACCTTTAGCCAAAGGAAGCATGGACTGGGTCAGATCCCTGGTTGCAAGCCAGGTCTGGAACCACAGGCAGTAAGGAGAGGAGAAAATGTGGGCCCTGCAATGGGCTCTGAGGGAGAAGGAGAGGATCAACCCTATACTCTGAATCTAAGGGAAGACTGCTGTCCACACTCTGAAAGAGAATAATGATGGGATTACCCATATGGTTTGTTTTAGGGAGAAACCTGTTCTCCAAGCTCTTGGCCCTGAGAGATCTGGTCCTTATTCCTTGGACTTTGGCAAGTTCTGAGGAAGGTCTACTGCCTTCACACTGTGGATCTGTAGCAATTTTTTCCTGAAAACCCAGAGTTGTATCTTCATTGGTTAAAAAAAATTTATTATCTCAAAGACTGTTCTTCCCTGCGTAGCCAAGCTCAGCTTGGTTCAAGCTACAAGCAGCTGAGCTTCTTTGTGTCTATTCACTGTTCTTTTACTTGAGTGATCAAATATGTTCTCTCCAAGCCTACAATCCTGTCTTCTCAGGCTATATATTTTGTCCATGGAGGTCTTAATCTCAAGTCCACAGAACACTAGGGGGTTGGTGAAGTTTTATGGAAAAAAAAAATCTGTATTTTTACTTACATGTAACTGAAATTTTGCATTTTTTTCTACTTCGAATGCAAAGAACAAACTCGAGTAATATCATTAGTAACTATTGTATAGTTATAAAGAGAAACCACAGATATTTTTTCATACCACACCATATTCATTGCAGATATTTTTCTTTGGTTTGAGATGGAGTTTCACTATTGTCACCTAGGCTGGAGTGCAGTGGCACAATCTCAGCTCACTGCAACCTCCTCCTCCTGTGTTCAAGTGATTCTCCTGCCTCAGCCTTCCAAGTAGTTGGGATTACAGGCATCTGACACAATACCCATCTAATTTTTGTCTTTTTAGTAGATATGGGGTTTCGGCATTTTGACCAGGCTGGCCTCAAACTACTGACCTCAGGTGATCCACTCACCTCAGCCTCCCAAACTGCTGGGATTATAGGCATGAGCCACTGTGCCTGGCTCATTGCAGCTTTTTTTAGTTAACATTTATTTGCATCACTACTTGTATCTAAAGTAAGCTGTAGACCCAATCCTAGATCCAATGCTTTCACAAAGAAGCAAATATAATAAATACTATGAGACAAATGTGATCTTTGGGTGTTTGATAACTATATTTCAGTATAATTAATCTTCTTAGCAATCCTATGTATATTATTTTATTCAATAAAAACATATTTTTTAGCACTTATAGTATGCCAAGCTAGTCTGTGACACAAAAAAAGTTCAAGAATTCCTGCTTATGTCTGTGGTAGCCAAAGATTCGAATATATATTCAGAAAGATACTGTTGGTTAATAGCTAAAAGAAAATGGAGTAGAAATTCAGTGAACTGGAATAATAACAGTTTGGGCAGTTGTTAAGTCAGGTGAAGACTTCTGGAACCATGGGAGAAAGGTAAGGGAAACATTCTTATGGCCACAAGTATTTTTTTTTTCTTTTTTTAAATCGCAAGCGTAAGAAAACATAATTAATAACAAGGTGAGGTTACAGAAGAGAGAATTAATCTTAGGGAACTTGGAATATGGAATCTCCAAAGGCACTTGACTTGGGAGACAGAAGCCATACTGCTAAGTAAAAAAGACCAAGAACCTCTAGGGAATGAAAATGCAGGAAATTGTAGGAAGAGAAATTCCCAGATCTGTCAGGGCAAGGGAAGCCATTGGGGAAAGAAATGATAGAAATGGATGGAGAATGAGCCAGAGGAAGGAACTGGGCTGGGACAATGAGATTACGGTGATGTAAGGGACTTTTCTAGAATTAACAATGCTGGAATTTGAGCAACTCTGCTTCTATTATTTCCTCAATCGTTACTTCTGTCACACTGATAGTTAAATAACTTCTGTGACTTTATTCCTTGATTCTAAAAAAAATGAGGATAATGACAATGGTATTATAAGGGCAGATTAAGCAGTATACCATAGGCGATATTTTTCAGGCACATGGATCGAATTGAATAAACTATAAATCCCAACTTCTGGTCTCAGCTATACCAGGTAAAGAGCTAGCAAGTCATCACAACAGGGACAAAAAAAAAAAAAAAAAAAAAAAAAAAAAAAAAAAAAAAAAAAAAAAAAAAAAAAAAAAAAAAGGGACACTAGAGGAATTTGAAGTCTTTGCTATCTGTGGCTACAAACACTAAAATACATCCTGACTCCTAGCCTAATTGATATATTGATTCACTTTTTCTCTGTTTGATGACAAATTCTGGTTTTAAATAATTTTAGGATTTTAGGCTTCTCAGCTGCCTTTCCGATGAGAAGTATAAGTAGGACAGACAGGCAAGCAAGAAGAGAGCCCAGGCAATACCCCCAAAGTCACCAGTGTCCCCCATGGTCACAGAGAAATGAGAGAGGAGTCCCTGAAAGCCCCGGGTGTAATCTTTTCTGTCTGTCCTCTCTAGGGAATCATCCCAAGGTACTGTACTTTGGGGTTAAGGCTTTAGTCCCACTGTGGACTACCTGCTATTATGTTCAGTTTAGAGAAGGAGTTATGTATGGTTTTTTTCTCCCTAGAAAACTTAAGGTACAGAAGTTTTGTTTACAATGCACTTCTTAAGAGAGTTAGAACTTGGTGTCACTGTCACCATCTTTAATACAAATATTAAACATGCTTTGGCTGAAACTTTTTTTTTCTATTTTGAGCTTTGCTCCTTTTGATGTGGCTTTCTTGGAAAAGGAGAATGGGAGAGATGGGTATCATTTTCGAAGATGATGAAGAGTGTTAAAAAGGGGGACAAATGGAAATTTGTGTTGCAGATAGATGAGGAACCAACAAAAAAGGGTCCCAGGATCTGACACACGTTATCTCAAACTTAGTGTCCATCCACCACTGCTGACCCTTTTCCAACCTGACTCCACCCCTGAGGGACGCAGGTCAACCTTGACCAATGACTTTTAAGTACCATGGAGAATGGGGGGCAGACTTCAGCAGTAAAGAATAAAAGGCCACGGAGAGAAGCAGCCGCACATATCTGCTTCTGACACAGCTACAATCACCAGCAAGCTCTCAGACCTGACATCATGGTGCATTTTACTGCTGAGGAGAAGGTTGCCATCACTAGCCTGTGGAGCAAGATGAATGTGGAAGAGGCTGGAGGTGAAGCCTTGGGCAGGTAAGCATTGGTTCTCAATGCATGGGAGTGAAGGGTGAGTATTACTTTTGCAAGTTGATTGGGAAATTCCTCAGGATTTGTTAGCATCTCTAATTTTGTATCTGATATGGTATGGTGTCATTTTATAGACTCCTCGTTGTTTACCCCTGGACCCAGAGATTTTTTGACAACTTTGGAAATCTATCCTCTCCCTCTGCCATCCTGGGCAACCCCAAGGTCAAGGCCCATGGCAAGAAGGTGCTGACTTCCTTTGGAGATGCTATTAAAAACATGGACAACCTCAAGACCACTTTTGCTAAGCTAAGTGAGCTACACTGTGACAAGCTGCATGTGGATCCTGAGAACTTCAGGGTGAGTTCAGGCACGGGTGATGTGATGTTTTTGGCTTTATATATTGACATTAATTGAGGCTGAGAATCTTATTGGAAACATCAATAAAGATCTCAGAAGTCATATGTCTAACTTGATTTTAGAACAGCAGACTTCTAGTGGGCATGACCAAGGCTAACTTGATTCAGAGCTAGTGACAGTAAAGAGCTACTGGCAGCCTTAATGGGCTTAACTTTTCAGTAAATCTTGCGAGAACTTGATGTGTTTATCCTGGAGAATCATATTATAAAATTGTAGACTTGTGCAAGGAGAATGAAACTTTTGGTAGATGAAAGCCTGTTTCAAGGAAATAGAAATGCCTTATTTAAGTGGGTCATGATAACTGAGGTTTAGGAAGAGATGTTTGAAAAAAAATTAAAAGATTTTATCAAAGAAAAATAAGACAAATTTTCTAAAATATATTAAATTTCCCATCAATATTGTGACCAAGTGAAGGTTTGTTTCTGTATTTGTTACGGATTTTAAATTCCCACTGAGAACTCTTGTAGTACTAACATTCTAAGTTTACAGAAATTAGATAACTGGTTAAAAAAAAAATACTGGTGAAATGGGGAGAGAGGGTGAGGGTATAGGTAGGTAGAATGTTGAATGTAGGGCTCATAAAAACAAAATTGAACCCAAGCTCATCTGAATTTTTTGGGTAGGCACAAACCTTGGAACAGTTTGAGGTCAGGGTTGTCAAGGCATGTAGGTATAAAGCCTTTTTTTCAGTCAATTGTTTTAGGAAAATTGTATTTAATATGCTTATGTGTTATTTTGTCTTTTGCCTAACAGCTCCTAGGTAATGTGATGGTGATTATTCTGGCTACTCACTTTGGCAAGGAATTCACTCCCGAAGTGCAGGCTGCCTGGCAGAAGCTGGTGTCTGCTGTGGCCATTGCCCTGGGCCACAAGTACCACTGAGTTATCTTCCAGTTTGCCGGTGTTCCTGTGACCCTGACACCCTCCTTCTGCACTTGAATACTGGGCCTGGCCTTGAGAGGAAGGCTTCTGTTTAATAAAGTACATTTTCTTCAGTAATCAAAAATCGTAACTTTATATTCTCCATCTTGTACTGTTGTGTTAGAGGAGAAGTGTTCATGGGCTGAGGAATGGGGAGAAACATAGGAAGAATCAAGAACTTCCTTTAGAAATGTATGAGGGCTTGTAAAATTAATGTGGATGTTATGGGAGAATTCCAGGATTCCAAGGAGGATGACAAGATGGAAAAAATCTTTATAGGGGTGGGAAAATGGTTAAGTGGGCAGAGACTCCTAGGCAGTTTTTACTGCACAGGGTAAAGAAGGAGGTGTTAGTGGTACCTGAGAAAGCAGATTTGTGGTACATGTCACTTTTCATTAAAAAAAATAAATCATAGTTATCCAAGATGTAAGCTAGAATTACTGTTTTAATTTACTCTTATTTACATTTAGAAAAAGCCAGCTTGTCACATGTTTTATGAAATTGATTTGGAGATAAGATGAGTTGAGTGTGTATCAACAGTAGCCTGCACTTTCCTGAAGGATTCCATTGTCTCAAGGGTTAGCCAAGGCTAAGACACACAATATCATTGTGCATTATCTTCTGATAGAATGTAACATGCACTAAAATAAAGTTAGAGTTAGGACCTAAGTGGGAACTTTTTTGAGGGTGTGATGAAAATTTTATGTATGAGATATAATGCTAATAAAGGCTTAAGTTCTAAAATCAGCAAGCTAGGGCTTGGTGACTTGCATGATATGGGCTCTCTGGAAGTAGAAGAGAGAGTAAGACATAGGTAGAGGACTAGGAAAGACCAGATAGTCCAGGGCCTGGCTACAAAAATACAATCTTTTACTATGCTATTGCAATACTAAACAGTAAGTATTAGGATGTTAAGTGACTCAGGAAATAATATTTTCAGAAAAAGTAATCTGCTTATGTACACAAAATGGATCCAAGTTTGCAAATAAAGTAATATATGCATGATGATTCAAGGCAACAGATACAATGGTTCAAACCCAAGAGGAGCAGTGAGGTCTGTGGAATGTGAAGGATGGACAAAGGTGGAGTGAGGAAGACATGGTATTCGATTGACTGTGGGGGATGAGAAGGAAGAAGGAGGTGATAAATGACTGAAAGCTCCCAGCTGTGTGAAGATAACAGGAGGGAACCATGCACTGACCGGGGGACCCTCATGTATGAAGGGTAGAGGAGTGTTAACTGATTCACTTTTGAGGAAGTGCTAGATTGCTCAGGGAGTTTTTTTTTTTTTTTTTTTTTGAGATGGAGTTTCGCTCTTGTTGCCCAGGCTGGAGTGCAATGGCGGGATCTCGGCTCACCGCAACCTCCGCCTCCTGGGTTCAGGCAATTCTCCTGCCTCAGCCTCCTGAGTAGCTGGGATTACAGGCACGTGCCACCATGCCCAGCTAATGTTTTGTATTTTTAGTAGAGACGGGGTTTCACCATGTTGACCAGGATGGTCTCGATCTCTTGACCTCGTGATCCACCCACCTCGGCCTCCCAAAGTGCTGGGATTATAGGCGTGAGCCACCGCGCCCGGCCTTGCTCAGGTAGTTTTAACCTTCAGATCTTTTGTCTTTCTTATCAAGACTTGAGACCTTTACAGTTTCCAAGTTAGAGTGTTGTATTTTGGCAAATATAACTTGATTAGTCATTTTATTGCCCCCACATATCTGTCAGACTTTGCCCTGTGAATTACTTTTTAATTTGGCTGTGTATATCCAGAACATGGAAGAGAGAAAAATAATTATTGTAGTTGCAGGCTATCAACAACATAGGTCTCTCTGAGCTCTACAAACGTTTCGATACGCCCATAAACAGAATAAAGAGGGATTATTCATGGCATTAAATATTTTCACCTTGTCAGTCAGTTAACAAACGAGAGCAATGTGCATTTTTTGATACATAATATTTGTACGTATTTATGGGGTACATGTGATACATGCATAGAATGTGTAATGATTAGATATTTAGAATATCCATTGTTTTGAGCATTTATTATTTCTGTGTTGAGAAAATTTCAAGTCCTCATTTCTAGTCATTTTCAAATATATAATAAATAGTAATTATAGTCACCCTACTCAAATACTGGACATTAGGCTTACTCCTTCTATTAACTGTGTTTTTACCTGTTAACCAACATCTCTTAAATCCCCTGCTATACACACTTATACTTTTTCCAGCCTCTGATAACTATCATTCTACCACCATCAGACTCACTTTTTTAGCTCCCACAGATGAATAAAAACATGTGATATTTAACTTTCTGTGTCTGGTTTATTTTATTATCTATCTCCTTGGCATACTAAGAGTTTGTTTTTGTTCTGCTTCAGAGCTTTGAATTAACATAATGACCTCTAGTTACATCTGTGTTGCAACAAATGTCAAGATTTCATTATTTTTCATGGCAAAATAGTACTGTGCAAAGATATCAAATTTTTTATCCATTCACCTGTTGATAGACACTTAAGTTGATGTCAAACCTTAACTATTGTGAATAGGGTTCAATAAACGTGGGTGTAATGTATCCATTGGATATATTGGTTTCCTTTCTTTTGGATAAATATTAACTAGTGAGATTGCTGGATTGTATGATAGTTCTATTTTTAGTTTATTGAGAAAACTTCCTACTGTTTTCCATAACGGCTGTACTATTTTACATTCCCACCAACAGTGTGTAAGAAAGAATTCCCTTTTCTCCTTATCCTCACAAGCATCTGCTATTTTTTGTCTTTTTGATAAGAGCCATTTTAACTAGGGTAAGTAGATATCTCATTGCAGTTTTGATTCGTATTTCCCTAATGATTGGGATGTTGAGCATTTTTTTTCATATACTTGTTGGCCATTTGCATGTCTTCTTTTGAGAAATGCTTATTCAGAATTAATCTTTGCTCAGGTGTAGGCAAAGACTTTATAGCTAGAACACCAAAAGCGCAGGCAGCAAAAACAAAAATAGACAAACTTGTTTCCATTTATTTGTGTCTTATATGAGTACTTTCAGCAGTATTTTGCAGTTTTGCTTGTAGACGTTTTTCACCTCCTCGGTTAGGTATATGTTCCTAAATTTTTTGTTTGTTTGTTTGTTTTATTTTGTTTTGTTTTTGCAGCTATTGTAAAAGGAGTTGAGTTCTTGATTTTATTCTCAGCTTGATCATTTTTGGTATATAAGAGAGCAACTGATTGGTGTACATTAAGTTTGTATCCAAAATCTTTGCTGAATTATTTTATCAGTTCTGGGAGGTTTTGGATGAGTCTTTAGGGTTTTCTATGTACATAATCATATCATCAGCAAACAGCGACAGTTTGATTTCCTCTTTCATGATTTGGATGCACTTTATTTCCTACTCTTGTCTGATTGCCCTGGCTAGGACTTCCAGTAATATGTTAAAGAGAAGTAATGAGAGTGGGTGTCCTTGTCTTGTTCCAGTTCTCAGAGGGAATAGTTTTAACTTTTTCCCATTCCATATAATGTTGGCTGTGTGTTTGCCATAGCTGGCTTTTATTACATTGAGGTATATCCTTTGTACACGGATTTTGCTGGGAGTTTTTATCATAAAGGGATGTTGAATTTTGTTGAATACAGTTTCTGTGGCTACGGAGATAATCAAGTGATTTTTGTTTCTAATTCTTTTTATGTGGTATATCACATTTATTTATTATTTATCTTTTCAAAGAATGAGCTTATTATTTCATTTACCGTTTTTTTTTTTGGAACTCAAGACCAACCTGGCCAACATTCTGAAACATCTCCTCTACAGAAATACAAAAATTAGCCAAGTATGATGGCAAGTGCCTGTAATCCCAACTACTCCAGAGGCTGAGGTGGGAGAATTGCTTGAACCTGGAAGGTGGGAGTTGCAGTGAGCTGAACACACTACTGCACTCTAGCCTGGGCGACAGAATGAGACTCTGTCTTAGAAAAAAAAAAAAAGATTCACTTGTTTAGGCCTTAGAGGGCTTGGTTTCTGAGACATCCTCCAAGGTCAGGTTCTACAAGTGGTACCCAATCATATTGCCAGATATGGTCAAGCATCTGTACACAGGCATCTCACAGATCCCCTATCTTAAGGAGAGCCTAATTTGGGTTCCCCTCAGTCCCTGTAACCAGTACTAAGTCTTTCCCACCCACCCTTAGATTGAGAGAAGTCCTTTATTATTATGTCAGTAACTGGAAGATATTGATATTTTGAGGAATCTTTTTTTTTCTTTCTTCTTCAACTTTTATTCTAACTTCCAAGGAACAAGTGCAGCATGTGCAGCTTTGTCACATGGGTCAACATGTACCTTTCTGTTCTTTTAGCCATCTCCAACTTTGAGCAGATATATGCTTTACCCAAGATTATGAAACCTGGAAGGATTTTACCAATATTATTATAGTTTCTATCAACTTGATAGGCTGGGGAAGATAGAGGTCCCCTGTAAAAATCCAGATTTCCAGAGCTTTTGACTTCATAATCTAGCAAGGTCATGGATCACTTTCAGAGAAAAAAATAAAAAAGCAAACCAATCCCACCAAAAAATAAAAATGCAAAACAAAAAATTAAAAAAAAAATAACATGAATACCTCCTGCCATGTTAAGTAGCCAATATGTCAGAAATAGCACTGAGTTAGAGAGACAAATGTCTAAAGTACAGTGATATCCCAGCTGTCATAATGTGTAAGCTGTTAGTCAATAAAAACATCCCTGCCTCTTTAGAGTTGTTTTCCATGCAAACACGTCTTATGTCTTAGAATACCATTCCTTGAGAAGTGAACCCAGCATTTATACATGATAATTCTAATCCACAGTAGCTGCCATAGAACATTCTACCATCATCTTTACAAACCACAGAAGAGCTATTCCAAAACCGTGGGTCATCAGCCACCACATACGCTTATCCAGTGATAAATACACATCATCTGGTGTATACATATATACCTGAACATGAAAACAAATGCTTTTGCTGAGATGAGGCAGATTTGCTTTATTTCAAATAGGTACAGATAAGTAGATATAGAGGCAAGGATTCAGTCTATATTACATTAAAGAACATTAATCTATTCCT